TATTCTTATAAAAACAAAATTGACATAACATATTCATTCTTATATATATTCTTCTAAAATTATCCTTATATTACTTTTTTCTAATTAATACTCATACTTCTTATCACCGAGTTCATGTTCTTTAAATAATTTATAATTAATATATTTTATAAAATTTTAAAAATACTTTAATTAAAAATATTTGAATATAAAAATAATTAATATATAAAATAATATGAATTAAATCTTATATAAAAGAATAAATAATTATTTTAAGTTAAGTTTTATAAATAAGAAAGGAGGTAGTATAATTTATCAAATCTTATTTTACTTTTTATCTATTGTGAAATTACTAATTAAAGTTTTATTATTGTGATACGATTTTGAAATGAAATGGCAGCAATTGGGATTGGGGGTGGCACTAGCATGATCTAGCTACTATATAACAATTATTATTATTTGGAAACCAAATGCGTTTTGAAAGCTCTGAGGTAAGTATTTCTGAGCGGAATTTCTTTTTCCCCTTATTGAAAAAGGTATAATTATCATCGAAGACAATAGAAAAACAAAATAATTAATGGCTAAATGTAGTGACATCTGACAAAATATATTATGGCTAAAAAAATATATAAAAACTTAAGTTCAACTTCAACTTTTCAAACCATTTGGATGAAAAGAGAATTTGGATAAGATTAAGAACAGAAAGGAGGGGGGTGCCTCTACTCATTTTCTGTTCTTCTATAATTACTCGATTGATTGATTGGATGTAAAGAGAATTTGGATAACAAAAGAAGAGGGAAAAAAAACGTAAGTAAAGAAAATGAAAAAATATATATAAAAAAGTGTATTTTCTCTTATTACGTTTGAATCAAGAGAATACACAGAAATTAAAAATTAAATCTTTTTCTTTTGTTCGTCCTTGGAGTATCGACCGCTGACAGCAGTGATTAATCTCCTCGTTACGTTGGAGGCACCTCAAAGAGTGGAATAACTGGCTCCAAGATTTAACGCGGCTGCATACACAAGACAGGATTCGAACTCCTGACCTTGCTTAAGCGTGGATCAACCCCTACCGCTGAACCACACGCTTGAAATTTTTCTTTATGGTATATAAAGTAAGTGAAATGAAATATAATTATATAAAATGATATATATTTATCAATTATCCACCTTAAAATAATTGCTATAATTCTGCTTAATCAACTGAATTAAATTATTTTAATAGACAATTATTGCTTAAAATTTTACATAAAATTTAAGAAAATTATTAAAAAAATATTAATATTTAACGATTATAAGTTCATATAACTATATATACCATTTCCTTGTCTCATTCATATATATTCTCACATTCCAATGACGATGATAGGTTCAAAATAATCGAAAACTTTAAAAATAACTTTTTTTTATATAAAAATAATATAATGTTTATATATATATATATATATTTTTTGTTTCTTTTCCAAGTTATTAATATTTAAAAATAAACTAATAATATAACAATTATTAATGTGGATATGATGCTAATATATCTTGTTGAAAAGGAATGAGAGGTTCAAGCATGAATTTGATACATTCTGTTGAATGAAAGCTTAATTGATTCTTCTTTCAAATCATTAATTCTTTATTTGGATGATGAATGATTTTAGAAAGAAAGTGAACTAAAATTAAGTAGAAGAGAAGAGAGAATGAAAGTAAACAAATAATTTTTTAAGTTATTTAGACTAAAAGAAGTAAAAGAGAAAGAAAAAAAAAGTATGTTACATTGACATATTTAGCCTTAACATTTATATACCCAAAACAAAAAGAATTAGGTTTTACAACTTTTTCCCTTTCCTCTACCAAATCTCGTCACTAATAGAGTTTATTTTTTATTATTTATTTTTTTATGTGGGTTCCACTTATCTTTTCTTTCTCCTCTCACTTTGCTTCTTTTTCAAATAATTTAAAACTTCATTCTCTTTTTTCCTCTAAAAAAAACTTCATTCTCTTTTTCGTTTCTTTCTCTCCAAAATCATTCAAACCAAACATATGGAAAGAGTTGCTAACCACTAGGTTAAGAAAAATTCTTAATTAGGAACTAGTTATCAAACATAACACAAGTCAAATGATAAGTAAACATCATAAGGCAAGGAAGTATGAATAAGTTGACACCCTATGATTGCATAAGCTACTCGCTTAGAGGGCAACTGTTCCAATCCTACCCTAACTAAACCTATAGTCACATATGCCTAAACTGGGTTATAAGCAATCATTATGGTCTAGTATATCCAAGTTGTTAGAAAGGCAACCAACCTAGCTCGAAAGGCCCAAGTCGATAGAATTTGGAAATAGCTAGCATAAGGTAAGGAGTCTACTAATGACTTGGGAATCATTCAAAAGTCCTTGATTCTTTTGACACAATATAATTGCTCATTCATATAGTGAATTATTATGTTATCTTATTGAATCTTGTTATATCGAGTTGGAAAATCTCAAATATTTGAGTGAGATTGTTAGAAAAATATGGTATTTATATATTTTAGTAAAATGTTACACAAAATCCATAAAAATATATCTTATAAAATAATTCATCAAAATTTATATGTTCTTTAATATCAAATTAAATTTTTCAAGTTGTAAAAAGTCTTAATAGAATACCACCAAACTTTTATACTCTTTAAAAAAATGATATTCTTTATTGAATAAAGCCTCTTTCTATAATTTAAAAGTTTTAATTGAATGCTACAAGAATTTTTTTTACCAAATTTTTTTTTTTAAAATATCTATCTAATACACCCTTATATATATGTTCTTTCTCGTATAGAGATGAGTTAAGAACAATTAAAGTATATGAAAAAAAATGGGGAAGAAGAAGTTAACCAGCTTTACCCTCTCAAAATAGTTGTTTAAATATGAATTTCTCTTAATAGTTACTATCTTCACATATAAGCATAATAGTATTTATGTTTTGGCCACAACACCTCAAGTATCTTTTGTGTCAACTAATGAAAGCTAGTTCGAAAGCATAAACACCAGTGTCAAGAGAAGTACTATGAATCAAATATAGATAATATATCCAATTTACAAATAATTTGTTACATGGAGGCAAATGGTCCTGGAATTGAAATAAATGAATTGTATAAGTACAACATTTACAATTATACATACATAAACCATCGAGAGAGACAACAACATTTCAATAGCTGATGTCAAAATATTTTGGATTTGAAGGGAAATGATATTCCACATGTAACTGTGTCATGAAATAATCATATTAGAGGAGATAAAAGATAACGAGAATTATTAAGAGTCACACATTCCATAAATAATGCTTCTAGTTGAAATCGTAACAATATATATATATATATATATATATATAAACAAAAAGTGCAATGTTCTTCAAGAAGATCAACATCAACTCAAGACTATTAATTGAACAATCATTTGTGAAGATACCACATTATCAAAGACTTTGTGTACTCTTGATGTATAAATACACATAAAAAATAAATAAACAACTTACAAGATGGAATGTAATTAAGTATTTAACTAATCACTAAAGTTGACACATTCTCATGACTAATCTTATAAATTAAAACACCATCTAAGACTTGGTCAAAGTATTAAGCCACTAATTCCACCAATAGAATCACACACAAATTTATAGTTTTAAAGTATTATAACAGAAAATCAAACCAATTAAGTAAATAATGTTTATAATATAAGATTAGAGGTCTAGTTACAAGTTTCAATAAATATGCTCAATACAATTATCTTGAAAAAGGTCAAATTTGTGTAGAATTTGACCTTTCTTTCTTCATCAATAAAATGTGAAGCTTGCATTTTTTTTTCTTTTTCCATTTAATTATTTTACTTGTTTTTAAGCTTTGATTTCCCCCTTTCATTATAGGAAAAATGATGTCATTTTCAAGTTCTTTTTATTTTTTATTTTTATTTTTAATAGAATTGACTAGCTAGATATTATGGTTGAGTAAACCCACACAAAATAATCACCTTCATTTGGTGAAACCTAACCAATTTAATTAACATGCTTTAGATTATATTATAGTGATTTCTAAGAACTTGAAATACACCATAAGCCACATATTTCTCAAGTTATTAGTTCATGATTGCATATATATATATATATATATATATATATATATATA